TTTTGAGAAACGACGAATGAGAAGAATTGCTAGGCAAACAGATTGCCTACTCAAAATCTATCATCTCAGCTCCCTTAATTCCTTTGAAAAATGACAATACCTGAAGCAAATTTAATTTGGATCTATTTCAAAAGTTGAATGTTGCGAATGCAGAACATTGATTTGATCTTTTCGCTTTTAAGAAGAACCATAGCTTGATTACTTTTGAACATCTCTTAAAAACATGCTTTCATTTTAAATTATTGGCAACCATGCATACATTTTTTAATGTAGCGAAACGATAATCTCAAATCTGTGGTCCTTTTTAAAAGTTTCTGCAAAAAGTCATGAAATTCTGTTGATTTTAGTCTGCATGATCCGTCAGCTAATATTATTCTCTGAAGTTGAGCTATTCATTAACTTTACTATGCTGTTTCAGGTCAAAATTGAAGCTTTTTGGCATTAATTAGGAGAACATACCACTACTTAACGACAAAGAAATCTCCATTACTTCCTCCAAAAAAAGGCTTGACAAACACTGACTAAAGCTTTGAATTCAGCGGTTCAAGCTGCAAACTACATATCGTCGCAAACAGCGCATTCCTATAGGAATTAGTAACAACAGGATGTACTAATTAGTAAGAATTCTCGTAAGGCACTGGCTAAAAAACCACAAAGTCAGGCCATAGTGAGGCTATCAAAGGTAGCAGGATCAATTCACTGTACAAGGTGTTTGGGCTTTGAGCGCTAATTACTAGTGGAAGACTGAAAACGAGTGATCTTCTACTGCCGAGGGAATTTTTAGATAGCTCTTGCCTGTCGCTATTGAAAAGGAACGCACCTAGAATATCAAAAGCTTTTATTGAGTGCCATTGGATTAGCTCTGAAAGGTCCAAATTCTATATACAAAAACCGAAAAAAGCTGCGTCAACAGCTCAAAACTATTCCTGCCTATCACAAAGTCCCAGACTGTCAAAGACGAACACTGCGAAAAAAAAAACTCTAGCGGAACTTATGGCTATCTTTTAGTGAATGAGGACTCTTATCCATACCGGTAACAAGAAAAGCTTTGTGCCATTTAAAGCTGCACGGATAAACGAAAAAAAACTCGCATTCAAAGAGAAGATAGAGCTTGGGCGGCAGAATGTAGGCCAGCGTAAAAGCAGAATGCAAGTACGAGACAAATGATTTGGGGTCACTGCAATACGAAAAATTGGCATGAAACATTTTCAAAGGCTTAATATTCTATCCACCATCAGCTAATCTCTATAGCTTCAAGCCATTGGCTCCGACCACAGGGTTGTCCCCTATGTTTTTGAACGCATGCGGCTATAGGTACCACAACTTAAAAAATCCTTTCGTAAGCCTCTTCGTATCCCCATCTTGGTTTTGGGCTCGGTATGTATGCTAGTTTAAAGCTTCTACATAAAATGATGTATGAGTGATT